TTGCAGCTGCTCAGTTCTCTCTCCCCAAATATCTGAAAAAGTATTGAATGGGAAAGTGTTAAGGTCTACATCTGGGGTACCCAGCAGGGTGCTTACAGGCACCATTTTGCCCGTTGGCACTTGCCAGGCTCCTTGACCTGCATTTTGAATATATTCCTGGCCAACCTGTCGTGGGTTTTCCACACGTGCCCACCAGCTCTCAAAGGTTGGGGTTCCCTGCTCCAGATGTTGATGAACTGTGGTACCCAGCATTTTCACCACTGATAATGCTGGCTGGAACTTGTTGAAGTTGCATTTTAGCAACCTTTTTAAAGCCAACGGTTCCCCACTCCTACTTGAAGTAGAACTGGTCATAATACAAAAAAATCATTTTATACTTTCACAATGCATTTGAACCTCTGAACTGAATAATCAGTGCATGTTGTGAGCTATAATGAAAACTTTTATCTCCTTTACACTGTCACTGATCACATAACAAAGAAGGAATGTTTATTTTCTGCAATCATGTACATTTCAGTTTTTTTTCTTTTTGGGTTCAATGGGGGCTTAAAATGTGCAAGGACAGTGACCAAGGAAATGTATATAGTAACAATACTCCTAACAACCATTAGGTAGAGTGGCCATTTTAGATTATTTATGTTGGGTACTAGGGAACAGTTACATGGACAATGCACAGGTGACTCTGCGGCTCTTAAGTTAACCGTCTGCACCTAAAATGTTATACTGTTACTGGTCTAAAGTAAGGTTCTGCTACCAGTCCAATGTGATATTGCAATCTCAGATGTGAGACCTACTGGGGTCAATTCTGCAACAGCACAATAGATGTCTATTCAGAAGTAAGTCCCATTGAGTTCATTGGGAAGGTGCTTATTTAGTTATTTTTAAATTTCCCAGTTAAGTAGGAAATGGCTGGGTGCTTTAGTGTGCTCTTTTTCCAGGAAAATGCAGTAGGGCTAGGATTTTGAAACGTTCTAGAGAAAATTCTGGCTACTGAGCTAATTTGCTAGGGCTATGATCTGGAAGGAACCATATCATCTCTCTCCTTCCTGCCTATGTAGCAGTTTAGATGTTAGTAACCTCTCTTGTTTGGCAGTTTGTATTCTTTGAAGGCCAAGTTCATGCAGGGAAACACATTGGCAGAGAAAATTGTAAATAGTGCCAGGTACAATTGTTCATCGAGGCCTATTATCTTGAAGTTTCTTGTTTGAGCTGTATCTTACAGAGGAGCTTTGTCTGAGCCAAAGACCTCTGGAGCGATGTTAACAGGGTACCAGGTAGCATTGTAAATGGGTGCTTAGGGAGGAATAATGAAGCCCACAATTCTGCTTAACTGCCAATTAGTTCTCTGTTCAAGATGGAATTATGTTCATGGTATCATGTCTGGATATTTATACTTGCTTATAGTAGCTACTCCCCTATGCACCCCCAGATACACAAAATATATATTCAGTACAGAAATGCTGTAATTACAGATCTGTGTTAAATTCTTCCCTATCGGCTCAATAGCAGTCAGCTGTCAAGCAAATCAGTGCCAACTCTTATTAGTCTTTAGCCTACTGTTCAGCCAGTATATTTGACTCTTCTTTTGTCCTTCATTGTCATCTAGCAGGTGCTGTAGGAGTGCAGCGCCAAGTCTCCCATTGACTCACCCTCATCCGTTTCCATTCATGTGGGTCATAAGAACAATAACCTCCAGGACTGCTACTTGTGCCATTTTCATCTTCCCTCCCCATCCCCATCATTTCTTTATGATTTTAACCTCATAAAGGGACTGCCTTTTTTTTTTATAATTGGTCAGATGTGAACAGTTTTGGAAGCATTTTCAGCTAATGTGGTTTATAAAAAGTGCTTAAAGTAGTATACACAGACTCTGATCTCTGTAGTAGGAGCTATCTTGCTTGCATGTTTCAGTGTCTTTCAGATGTTGCCTTTTAGTGTCCTTGGAAAATTTCTCTAAGGTTGGTTGCTTTTGTGATTAAAAGTGGCTACATGGCATCTTAGTTTTATTATGACTGTCTGCAGATATGAAAGCAAGTTAGCACAAGTGCACCACCAGCCAAGCCTTCTGTCTCTCTTTCCCTTCCAGTGATTTATGAAAGAGGAAACTACTGGTAATTCCTAAAGATTGCAAGGCACATAGGCTTTTTGTGAACAGTAAAAAGCAAAGCATGGTCAAAAGATGAGCGGACATCGCTAATATTTTACATGAATTTGTGGAAAATTTTTATACAAAATTGTTCAGTTGAAACTTGGCTTCCCATCTATATTCCACTGAAATCAGAATGGTATATCATTGCGTGTTGCAATAGGCGACCTTTTAGATTATAAGCTTGATGGCAAGAATTGTTATTAATCTTTCATTTACAAAGACTCTTCCTTCCTTTCTTGGCTGAGGAGTGCAGTGTTTAAAAATAAAATTAATACATGAATAAAGTGTCACAATTTCCATTAACAATATGTAAGACCTTCAGGAATCCATAGGCTGGCCAAGAACTACGCTGGAGAGCTGAGGCTTGGGCAGGGAGAGAGGAAGGTGAGGATATGATATATCTGCTGATCTCTATTTTGTGGAAGCAAGCAGACTTGAGCCTAGGATGAAGGTGGGGCTCAAATCTTGAAAAAGGTTGAAGCCTATATAGAAAGAAGAGAGGGGAAGCAGCCACACTTGCAACAGATTTAAGTAAAATAATTATTTCAAACATGAGCCATGTGGTGGAAGGCTTACCTAAAGAAAGATCAACAACTGGAGAGGATCCAAACAATCATGTTATTATTTCCAAAGCTAGCAAGTTATATGAGTCACCAGTCTCTTGCACCCAGTTGAGCCAAATCAAGACCCCCAAAGTTACACGAGTCTGGCATAGAATGTAGATCAAAGAAAATACGAGCATATGTATACACCCAAAGGAGGTCTCAATAAAGAGAATTGCTTTACAACCAATAAAGAAATAAGATCACTCTAAAGGAGGCAAGGGTGTCATTTATAGTGGATCATTTAATTATGAGCACATTCTTTGGAATACAACATAGTAGCTTTGGGGTATGAGAGGTGTTTAACTGTTATTCCAACAAGCTGACCTTGTATTTGTTAGGGAAGAAGGGAGAGAGAAGGGAGCAGAGCAATATACATATTTGAATCTATTGCCTTTGTTTTAGGCATAATGCTATAGGTGTTTAATAACAAATCGGCATCATAAGAATTTGGTACTTAAAGGAGCCATGAGAGAAATACAATTAAAAGCATATATGCAATAGCATATACAAGAGTGGTTATATAACAGTGTAATTCAAGTTCTTAATTCCAAGTCACCAAAGCCATCGAGGAGGGACAAGACAGCATACTGATAAAACTATAACACACTCTTTTCAAATATTAAACACAGCAGGAAGGAGAAAACTACATATTAAAGCACTGGAAACAAAAGCTGCGTGTTGAAATATAAACTCGAGCATTTCTCCTTGCTGTTAAAAATTAAGTAAAAGGTTTTTCAATTGCTCCTCCTAGTGGATATGTTATAAAGGACACAAATCAAGCACGTCTTGACTTTGTAGTTCTTCGCGATTAAATCCATATAACCTTTCCATACAAATGGGAATATTAAGGAGTCTACTTTGCATTGCATCCGCGATTCATAATTGTTACACGGGGTTAGTGCAGTCTTTAATGTTAGTGCAGATATCTCAATAGAAGACTTAAGCTGACTTCGCTGTTTTTTTTTTTTTTAATTATGTTACCCAGCCAGAAGCCTGCGTGTTTCACCAACGCAAGAGTGGTTAAAACACGCCCCTGCGTTTTCAGAAACGGGAGAAGAGTTATCGTTTTGTTCCGGGGCGTGAGTTGCAATTCAACGCCTGAGCACCTAGCACGCAACTCCATGGTTATAACTTCGGGATTAATTTGTGGGGGTGCTGTTTCTTCCCCCATTATTATATACCCGAAGATTTCGGGAAAACTCGGGGCATTTCGGCTAGTTGTGATGACGCTATTGCACAACTCTAGTAACAACTAAGCTTTTATTTTTTTCTTTATTTTTATTTCTCACGGAGTAGTGTCGTAATCCTCGCTCTTCATGCAGAAACAGCCTTCCGGGCGAGCTGGAATCCTGGCAATTAAATGGCACCTTCCGTGTATTTTAGCCACAGTACGGAAGTGGTTTGCCGCTGCCGCCTTCTGAGATGATTTAAGACTTCCCAGTCAAGCCTCGGGTGCTGGACTTCCCTGGTAGTCTCCCCTGAGGTCTGATCCTAGTTTAGTTTCCTATTCCAAACAGGGTTAGCCGGGTGCTATCCCTCCTGAGACACAGGCAGGCTTGCCTTCTGGCTATTACTAATTTTCTCAAGATACGAGACAGGGAGAGAGAAAGATGCTATCTCTGGGGAGGAGAATGAGCTGAACTGACTCGGAGAGGTACCACTATGGTCACCAGCTGAAAAGAAACGGGAAGAAAGGACTAGGATAGCGGTGTTCTCCAGGCTGGCGCCCTCTAGGAACCCTGTGTCTGGGGATGATGGGACTTGCAGCTCAACACACACGTAAAGCATTAACAGGGGAAAAGGGCAAAGACACAGAAGGGGAAATCAAGGAGCCAGAGTGCACGGAATGCGTTCCAGACGCAGCGACGCCAGTCCTGACGCGTTGCTCCTCCGCAGCCGCGTAGTGCAATCCGTCTTTAGAAAGATTGGGGGGGGGCGGAGTCGAGGAGGGCACTGCCTTTGCTTTGCATCCTTGGGCGGCAGGAGACACGGTTGGTGGATTGGGCTTCGCGCAGCATGATGGGAAAATCCTTTTAGCATCCGGCATGGAGGCTCGGGTGCTCGGCGCCAAGCAGCACC